TTCAATTTTCAGACTGATCTAATAATATGATCATCCAGTGCCCCCGCCAATATATATATATATATATATATATATATATATATATATGTGTGTGTGTGTGTGTGTGTATGTTTAGTGGTCACCGCGATTGTGTGAGAATCAAGTTTTTACCGTTTCTATTGCAAAAGATTCCGGAAGAATGCGTCTGAGCACCAAATGCGAACAAACAACTAATATGGAAAACCACATGTCTAGTAATCGACTGACAAAAAGGCAGTCGACAGAAAGGAACCCAGATGACAATTCCAAAGTGATTTGCTGGGGTATTGAAAGTTGACATATCCTTTTTGTAAGCGACAGATGACTGTTTACATTTTTCTAATCTTTCTGCATCAATATCATTATAGGACGGTGGAACGAAATTCCCCGGCTGTTGCTAGGCTTGCATCTATTAGTTGTTGGTGACTGGCACTACTACTACTACTACTACTACTACTACTACTACTACTACTTCTATTGCGTGCATTATTGCCGATTCGGCATGAAAACAATGCTGTGACGTTGTGATTAGTCACGGACTGATGGAGAAAAAACTCACAGTGGGTGCACAAAGCAGCAGATTCTCATTTGTCTCCAAAGCGGCATGGCACAAGCGTGACTGGATGAGATTCAGAGTTTTAAAACCGACAAAGGCTGCTTGCACATAGGCCGGAAGTTTCTCAATTTTGAACAATGTTTCATCCTGATCATGTGATTTTGGTCGTAGGGCGGGCACGTGAACTTCTTCATAGCCTTTGCGTTGTTCCCGGAACGAACCGTCGGGTAATTTGCATCGTTTGTTGGCCATCAGATGACCACCTTGTGTGAAAGCCAAGCTCTCCAGATCGACCACATTTGCAGTGCCAACAGATCCATCATCCGGAATCTGAAGACCACTGACTTCTGTATTATCTTGCTCCACGTCAGCCTACAGAATAGGATACCCGGAAAAAAAATTTACAACCGAAGTGCGAATATTAATTTCAATCAGTATTACTGGGTACGATATAGTCAGGCGGAAGTGTTTGGATAATTTGATAAACC